ATGTTCGCTGGAAGAAACATTTAATAAATGGTGCGAGAGGCTGGGGGGAATGCTAAGCAGCCTAAGTACCTGCCTGGCCAGCCAAGTACCCAGGCTCAATCCCTGGTACTGGTACCACATGCCATTCTGGCCCTGGAACAACAGGCACTCGGTGACCCCACTTAAACCCGGCATGGTGGCACATGCCCATAATCCCAGCACTGGGGAAGCTGAGACAGGAGGATCACTACAAGTGTGAGCTGCATAGTGAGATCCTGTGCCAAATAAATAAATAGATAATTTTAAAAAAATTAATAAATGCTGCTGGAAAAGGCCTTGCACATGCCAAAGGTGAAAACAGACCCATGTTTATCACCATGCACTAAATCAAAGTAAAAATAGATCAAAGATTTAAATATTAAAATAGACCCACTAAATCTACTGGAAGAGAAAGTAAGTAGAAATTTTGAATGTGTACAGGTAGCCAGAGAGTTCACGAAAAGAAAAACAAACCCAGACTGCATAGGAAACACTTCAAAGAAACAACAATTGGGATTCCATCTTATTAAAAGATTTTTGCACATCAAAAGAAATCACTGACAGAGTAAAAAGAAAACCATTGGGAAAAAATTTTAGCCGACTGTCCCTCAAAGGACTTCCATCTAGAACATAAAAAGAAATTTTAAAAATCAGGCCCCCAAAATTCAAAGTCAAAAAAAAACTTGGATTTCTGATATGAATACACACTTCTCAAAGGAAGAAATAAAAATGGCAAATAAATACGTGAAAAAAAGTTCAATATCATTGGCCATTTGAAAAATGCAAATTTAAAAAAAGAACAAAACAAAACACTGAGATTCCCTCTTATCCCAGAAAGAATGGCTATCATCAACAAATCAACCAGTAACAAATGCTGGTGGTGCTGTGGGGATAAAGAACCCTTCTCCACTGTTGGTAGGTGTGTAGACTGGTATAACCACTATGGAAATCAGTGTGGAGATTCCTCAAAGTTGGAACACAGCTATTCCTCTCTTGGGTATTTTTCTGGAGAAAAATTTAAAGCATTATACCCCAGAGGTAGATGTGCACCCAAGTTTATAGATGCACAATTTGTCATAGTTAAATCTTGGAAAAAACTCAAATGTACATAAACTGAGGAATGGATGAAAAAGACACAGTATTTTTATACAATTATCATATTCATTTACAAAGAAATGAAAAACTCAAGGCTTTATATGCTAATAGATGCAACTAGAGACCATACTCATGAGTGAAATAAATATCACAGTCTGCCTACTGTAAGAACTGCAAATATAAATCCCTGAAGCTATCAGCAGCAGCTCTTCACAACAGACCATTGCTGACTGCATTGAGAGAGAATTCCCCAAAGCATAGGTCAATGTGTTGATCCATTAGTGGAAAAATAATTTCTCAGGGTTGAAATAATATTCATTTATAATGCCTGATCATATCATTTTATCACATGCTTTCAAAATAATTTATTTTCAATAATATTCATTTAATATTTAAAAATCTAATTCATGGCATCAAAACAAATTTTTAGATGTTAATTTTATCCAATATAAAACTCTGGCATCAATTTAAATGCCCATAACTCATTTAAGAATTAAATATTAAAAAGTGCTGGCCAGATAGCTCAGTGGACTAAGGTACCTGCTTAGGCACAACACAGCAGCCGGGGTTCAATCCTTGGCATTCCCTGCCAGCCCTGCACCTGGGACACACTGAGACAGCTACTGAGACTGGGCATAGTAGTATGTGCCTGTAATCCCAGAGCTCAGGGGGCTGAAAACAGGAAGACTTACTTATTGCCTGTAAGTCCAATCTATATAGTGAGACCCTATAGACCCTGTACTAAGTACATAAAAACATAAAATAAAATAAAAAGGAATTAAATATTAAAGATAAATTATATTTTGTGGAAATAATGTACACACATATTTTTGTGGATTGCAACACATGAGTAAAAAAATCCAAACATATAGTGTACTTCCTAACAAGAAATTCATGAAGCAAAAAATATATTGGAATTTGGATACACAGCAATTTATAGCTTCATAATAGTAGCACAGCAATATTTTGCCAACAAATAGAAACTAATTTTCAAACTTTACATATATGTATGTACACATCTGTTGAGTAAATAAATACTTGTTTATAATGATGCTAATATTGAAAGCAGAAAGACAGCACGGAAGAAGACATTCTTTCTCTTGGTCTTTATCAATCCAGCTTTGACAAATTCTTTGTAAATTAATCTGTTTATTGCCATGGTTATGAATGTTTTTACAACAAATCTTCTACATTTTAAGTGAATTGCATTCAAGATTAATTGAATAACTTAAATAGCTCATTCAAAAAACAAAGCATCTTTAAAAAGCCAGCTTTGAAAGCTTTTAGTAAATTGTAATAATTGAAAGCTTTAAAAAAAATGAGTTGTAGCCTCACAAAAGCAAAAGAGGATAAAAATAAAAGCAAGTTTTCACAAGATTTGATTTTTTTTTTTTTTTTTTCAGTACCGGGGATTGAACTCAGGACCTTGCACTTGCCAGGCAAGCACTTATTCTACTGAGCTATCTCCTTGGTCCAGATTTTTTTTATTTTTATATCTTCCTTTAAAAATATCTTGACCAGGCAGGTGAAATAGCTCAGTGGACTAAGCGCTTACTTAGGCAAACAGAAGGACCCAGGCTTGATCCCTGGTACCGCGTGCCTCCCTGGTACCGCGTGCCTCCCTGGTACCGCACGCCGCAGTGGACCCGCCCCCGGGATCCCTGAACTGGCCACCTAGACCAGGTGTGGTGGTGCGTGCCTGTAATTCCAGCCCTGAGGAGGCTGAAAACAGGAGGATCACTATGAGTCTGAGCTGTGCAGTGAGAACCTGTACCAAATACATAAAAATATGTTGACCTTAGAAAGCATTGGGCAAAGCTCCTGTTTTTAATTTGGCTAATTATATACTTTAACACAATGAAAATGTCTAAAATTTGAAAGGACCTAAAATTTGTGCCATCTGTGTTTGGTGTGACATAATCATAGATAAATAAAATGTATGTTATTTTGTCTCATAATTTTTAAAAAATAAAAAATACTTATATGGAGGAAAATTGCAGTAACTAGAAAAATATTTGAGTTAAAACACACTACATATGTCATTTATTTCACAAAGTTTCTAGGTGATTACTGGCAGGAATAGGGAGAATTATGTCCTCAAAGATACCATGATTTACAAAATCAGTTTAGATGTCAATAATTTCAAATTTATTAACTATACCAAGAAACTTTGAAGACAATTGTAAGTAAATTTATAAAAATAATAATATTAAATATATGTTCCCTACCCCTAACCTTAAATGATAGGTTACAAGCTGAGATGATTAAGAATCAGATTAAAGTTTTTAAATTTATCCTGAAAATAAATCTGTCAATATTGCATTTCAACTTTTGAATTATCAATGTAGTGACATATTTTCCTTTATGTGTTCTTTTCATTTTTCTTTAATGTATGTAAATAAGCATTTATGTTTTAAAAATAATTTGACTTTGGCTGTAATTTTCAAATTGAACCATTTTATTCACACCACGTGTACACACACATATACATCACACATGCATATTATATATAATTTTGTGTCTTTTTAACCCCTCTTTAACTTCCAAAAGGGCTCTGTGAATTATCTCATTCAATTTTTAGAACAAATAAATCTGTATTTTGTAATGAGGTTGATGCTGAAAAAAGATCAATGTGATATTTCTTCTAGAATCCTACTGGGATTCAACACAGTAAAGGAATAGATATTTTATTTAGCATCAAATCTACAAAACTTAGTCCAAACTGACTACTTAAAGGCATTGTTCACTCTTCAAGGAGAAACTGATTTTAGGGTCTGGAATTGACTCTCTCTCTGCTAGTTTTCTTGATGTGTAACCAAGTAAATTATATGACTTAATTAAAATAAAAAGGGTGACCTGGAGGGGATCTTACCTGTAGCTTGGTACCCACTATGCAGGCCTCAGAAGTCTGTGTGTATTTAGCCATCTGGGGAAGCCTCTGCTGTCCTGGCCTTATTTCAGTTCCTCCACCAAAGGAAGTAAAAGGACGGAGTGTGACAGACCTAGACCAGAATGGGTTATAGCTAGCCAAGAATTCAATTGAATTTCTAGGCTAACTTAAGTTTGCTGATATGACTGCCTTAAACTGAGAGTGTGATACAATATTTATGTACTATGTATCTTAGAGCATGTACACTCTCATGCCACACCGCTTTGAGAATTCTGTGCCCCCAGGTGACTGTATACCAAGCACTACCATACATAATACTCAAAACATGATTTAAGTTATTTAGTATTTTAACGGGCTATAGAACAGGAGAAACAAATTAAAGAATTAAAAACAGCCAAAAAAGATGAAGGTTTTGCTCAAACAGAAATAAGAACAACTATTACAAAAAAAAATACTAATAAAAGACTATAAGACAAATTGCATGTTATCAGGGAGGACATGAAAACTTTGAAAAGATTAGATGTATGTCTCTCAGGGGTAGCTAAAGAGGACATGAAAATAAAATGTGTGGCTTCTGTGAAGCCTTCTAATGATGGAAGGAATACGATACTCTTATGAAAAAACTGGATTCTGCCAAAGGAAAAGTGTATCATTTGGTGTATGGAAGGATATACATGTATTTTAAATACACACTACTTAAAATCTCATGTTTTTTAATGTTACTTCATTTTTTAGTGAAGCCAGTAATATCTATGATTTCTGACCCAAGATCCCAGGTTATTTGTTTGTTCTTCAGATTACTACCAAAAAAAAAAAGATTTCCCCATTTTTTATCACTACAAATATTTTAGTAGTACTTTATACTAAATATACATCTTCCATTTTGTAGGAAACAGATGTTTTTGTTAACCTTATTCTTATGTATCCTATTTAAACATTTAGCGTCATGTGTATTTTTATTTACACATTTATTCATCTTGGGCTGTTATATTTTCAGTTGATTTCATAGGTGGACTTGATACACACTCCTACTACCAGGATCATGTTGAGTTAAAGCCCGTTAAACCTGTAAGTAAAGGTGTGCTTATCCAGAAAATATTAATCATTCTAACCTGGCCCAAACTAACCAAACCCAAAGTAACGTGGACCTACTACTAATCGCTGGTTTATTTTCCACTCATACCAAAAACACACCTTTCACATGTAACCTGGCATCCCCACCATTACTATTCATTCCAGAAAACAGGTGAAGTAGGTGATACTGTTTGCATCTCTAAAATAATGTTCTTAACTTATTTTCCTTATCCGTTATGGATTGCATATCACACTGATTTCATGTTACATCAATTTTAATCAAAAAAGATGGCATTATTTATGCTGCAGAGGGAAAGGCTGAGTGTGTGGCTTGGGGCAGCATAGCGGAGTAGGAGGACAAAGCCCGCCTTAGAATTCAGGCTCCCCTTCAATGCCTGGTTCCACCAAAAACAAAAAACAAAGGTAGAATTCAGGTTTACGTACACATATGGTTCCTTCCAGGCATCCTCCAGGATGTCTCCGAGACTTGCTCTGTCCTCAGTAACATGGTTTCTAGGAAGAAATTATAGACCACCTGGAAGAATGTACATATAGCTTGTGAGCTGCCTACTTTTTTATTCATATATTTTACTAAGAAGTTCAGAAATATGTTTTCTATTGTCCCTAGAAGACATGGGGAAAAGTCAACTAAAAAAAAGTGCCTGCTCAAATTGGTCTGATTTCAGCTGAGGTAAAAGAAAAATCTTGATCATCTGATACAACTACAAAACCAGGAATTAAATGCAGCAACTCCATTCTAGACAAATAAACAACTGTATAAAACAAAAGAGCTGTTGTTTGCTGAACATTTTGGCTAAATCATCTCATCTAATCCTCATAAAAATATTGTAATACACTCATTAATATTCCTGTTTTATTAATAAGGAAACACAAGCTCATAGAAGATAGGCAGCTTTCTCACAGTGCCAGTGTTAATAATTTGTAGAGCTGGGATTTTTTTTCCTGGATGATAATCTGTTGCCTGGCCTGATCAAGTGAATTTGTTCTGATGATCTTCATGTCCTTTGATGATGATAGAGAAAATCCTGTCAAAAGTCCAGAGATAACAAACACATATGAAGTCTTCATCTATCTTTTTGTCACAGTAGCAGCATCCTTAGGGACTGAAGCTTTAAGATCCTGCATTGTTTCCTCTACCTCCACAGTGCGAATTAATTTTGCCTTGGTAGAATGATATAAAGGAAACATAGCCCACAGGCTACACAAGTCAGAGCTAAGTCTGTCACAGTAGAGATATTTAAATAAATGTTGATTTCTTAGAGTAAATCCAATTTGGAGAAGGAATGCTCTATGCAACACCCCAACACCAAGTGGTCACCACCTCGCTGCTCAGGCTTCTGAGTGCCTATGATGATGTGCTCCAAGCTCCATATCTGTGGGTTTGGGGAGCTGGGCAGGGATGTGATGGTGATAAACATGACCTGTGCTTGGAAAGGCGCAAAGAACTGAAACAAAGTCTGGTTGTGACTTGGAAAATCTATATATTTGTTAAGAAAAAAAAATAATGATTTATTTCATGTTACTGTGAAAAAAAGTCTATAGAGACATTATAGTATAAAAAATGTTTCAATGTAAGAGAGAGATTTTATTAGAGGTTATTAAGAATTACAATTGATTAATGTTGATAATGAAGTGTCCTTCCCCAAGTAACTTCAAAGAACAGACTTACATATACCTATGAACCACAAAAGGATAGTCTGTGGCATTTCCTGGGGGCAAGTGACTTCCACTCATGATCTCTGAATCCCCCTCCATCTCTGTGAATTGAAAATATATAAAACATCCTCTTAAGATCATCCAAAAGGCTTTGATCAACTCTTCTAGCTCTTCAAAGCGTTTTTCTACACATTCATGTTCACTCCTGAACTCACACTATTTTAACTAAATGCACCATCAATGACAGGTTTCTGCTTCAGTGGATTATGCATATTATCATGTCTGATGAATATGGAACACATTTCAACCATGGAATAAGAACCTGTATGATCAAACTCAACTTGAATTAAAATACTTGTGCCTAAGACAATTGGAGCAATCAGTGTCTGTGCTATATGGCAACATGAAACTATTACAACAGCCAGTTTTTATCAGTTATCCTGCTTGATTTCTTTTTTGTACTAGGAATTGAACTTAGGACCTTGTGCTTGCCAAGCAGGTGCTGTGCCCCTGAGCTATGTCCTCAGCCCTATTGATTTCTTTTAATGAGACCTTTTATATTAGATTCCATTATACCCAGCTCAGTGTTGCATTATCACCTTCCTTCCCCTGCAACAGCTTGGAGTGGAGGGCAACCTTTCATGCTACATTGTACAGAGATGGCTGTAAATGCTGGTTTCAGCTTTTATTAATCCACTTTAATCTCTATGGATTACAAAACTAGGTTTCATAAGGAAGTTACCTTATTAAGGTGATCAGAAAAATATTTGGTATCTTCCCAGGCATTTGTACATGAGTAGGTAGCTCTCAGCTTGGGTAATATGTTCAAGCCAATCCAATAGCTCCATTTGCAGATATTCTGTAGAATCATACAGGGACCTAATTTCATTTCAGTGTCAGTTTGTTCACAGTCAAATCATGTGTGAATGTTTTTATTGGAAATGACACTATGATACGGGTAAGGTGATTTGTGTTGGGTTTGATGTTTCATAATTTCTTTCTTTTTAAAGTAAAAATATTAAGCTGTCAAATTTCACTGATTAAATAAGTCAGTTTAGTTCACTTTACAGTCATTGACTGATTGAATTTGACCTCTGGCTAACAATAATCAGAGACCTACATAGAAATAGTTGAATACAAAAGCAATGCTTCAAAAGCAATTTTCTGCAGAAAGGAAATTGCCATTTCTCACTTGGTGAGGCGAGGCTTCATTGGGAGATGGTGCTGAGCTGACACTGAAAAATGTCATGGAGTTTACCTAAAGAACAAGTGGAGCCACTTTGGAAGGCAGTTTGGTACTTTTGTACAAAACTAAACATACTCTTATAATATGACCCGGTAAGTGAGCTGCTAGTATCTACCCAGAAAAGCTGAAAAATTAGGCCCACACAAAACCTGTGCAAAAAACAGATATTTATGGTTGTTTATCTCATAATTCCCAAAACTTGGACAGAAGCAAGATGTCCTACAAGAGGTGAAAGGATAAATAAACTATAACAAACCAGACAATGTAGTATTATTCAGCACTGAAAACGTAGGAGTTACCAAGTTGTATAGTTTGAAAAAAGAAATGTATATTACTAAGTGAAAAAAATCAAACTGGAAAGGTCATATACTATCTGATTTCAACTATATGAAAATTTGGAAAAATCAAAACTTGAGAAAGAAAACAGACCTGGAGAGAGGAAAGGATGAGAACACAGAGGATTTTTAAAACAGCAAAGTTATTGGATGCTATAACAATTGTAAGCATCTGCACTTTTCCAAACCAACAGAATACACAATACTGAGAATAAACACTAAGGTAAATCATGGGCTTTGGATGACAATGATGCAGCTGCGGAAAACATAAAACTCTGGCAGGGGATGGTAATAGTGGAGGATGCATGTGCATGGGAAATCCTTGTATCTTTTTCTCAATTTGCTGTTAACCTAAAGCTGTTTAAAAAAAATAGTTTAACAAAAAATCAGGAGAAAACAAGTAGCCTCAGTGTGGTGACCAATTTACCTGACAGTAGATAGAGGGAGCATTGAAAATCAGGATTTTGCAATCTCTCATTGGCCAAAATTCTTACTTCAACCTGACCAAACTGGTAGGAACCAGAACAGAAATGTTGACAGCTCTAGTGAGGACACTAAGAGACCTCAGCAGCCCTTGCTCCATCAGCTCAGTGATGGCTACTCTAGGCCTAAAACTATAAAACATGCTGAGCCAATGGCATCTGGGCCAGTCTCGTGGACAAGTGGCATGTAGGTCTGGGGCAGCCTGTGCTGGGTCCGTGATCTTAGCACAGCTTCCAGTACTGGAGTATAACTCTTGCCATAACTGTAACCTGGGCCTGCACCTGCTTTCCTTCATCACTGCACCCATATGCCATCGTTCCCAGAGAGCAAAGAGCCAGGATCACTCTTGTCATCAGCTCACAGAGGCAAACGGCTGTGTGCCCAACAGAGCTCTAACAGGGAGCAGAGGCAGCAGGGACACTGGGGCATAAGAAAGAGAACTGGCAAGGCATGGACACATACAACTACAAAGGCAACATATAATCTTAGAGACTATCATTGTAAGCAATGAAAGTTTCTCAAAATCATGACTGGCATACTTCCACAACAATGGTGAGCAACTGGATAATGGAAAAATTAAGCTCTAGGTAGCAGTAATTCTTAGCATAAAAGTAACCAGACCAAGGAAGTTTATCAAAGAGCAACAGCAGCTGAACACCAGGAGCACATTGCACAACAGAGGGAGTACTAGATCTGATTAAGTTTAAATTTTCCATCAGCAAGACACCCTAGCACTGCAGTTAGGAAAGACTTGATGAGAAAGTTGAGCTCATACTTCACCCATCCAAATTGTTAAGTAATCATGTTTTAAGGCTTCCAAATGAGAACTTGGCTATTCATTGCCATCCTGATTTTTCCAGTTGCCTTGCTGGAGGCTAATTTTTCTTCACAAAGATTGCTACATGCTATGTGGCCTCTGCTAATTGAGCGACTGCTGTCACCACTACCTGCTAAAACACAGACGAGCCTAATCTCCCTTGCAAGCTGTCATTGCAGCTCCTGCATGGTGCCTTACTGCCTGTTCTCCACCTGTAACAGCCCAAGCTGTCAGGAAACCTAGCTCTGATGATCAGGATCTGAGACCAAAGCCAAGGAGATTGTGTCTGTTTGCACTTTCCCGAGAATAGTGATCTATCAGTACCCCTAGATATAAGTTGGTAACATGCCAGGACTTGTTGCATCTTTGCATTTACAGTATCTAGATCAAGCTCTAGCTAGTATGATTAATCAAGGTGTGTGTGTGTGTGTGTGTGTGTGTGTGTGTGTGTGTGTGTGTGTGTTTAGGAATAATGGAGGTGGAATATATTTCAAACCTTAATTTAAAATGGCCAGCCGTATCTTAGCAACCTATAACTGGAAGAACCTAAAGATGAATACAGTGATAAGTTCTTGCTTTTACTCTGTGCTCATTGTCCTTGATTGGCTTTCAGTTTATGTTTACCTACAGAGGAGGTGGCAGAATATGTAAAACTCTGCTAGCTGTCTGTCGCTGTTGCCCCTCCCAGATCCCATTGCTGATCATGGAGTTCTGGTCCTTGGGTAGCCTCATCAGTCAATAGAAGCAGAAGGTGCTTACAGAGGAGCAAACTCGCCAGAGATATCTCAAGGGCTCCACAACCGCAGAGCACTCTGCACTGTTTCAGTTGTCCCCAAGGAATGATGCCTTTCCAGCATGCCTGCCTTAGTACAACATGAGCTACCTCAGGGCTCATCACCACCCTCTTTTTATTTCACTTGCATGGCTAACTTTTTCATCCACCAGAAGAATGATTGCATCATTTCTGAAATTCCTGGAAAATCCTCATGGACCTTATTCACCAGGTCAGGTGCTGTGTGAATTCTGGCTCTTGCCTAAAATCAAAATGGCTGTGTTTGGTGTTTTGAATTTAGGACATTGAGACAGCAACCACAGAACATCTAAAGACACGACAAAGGACTTTCAGAACTAAAGTACTTCAAGATGATGGAAATAAATGTGTCTGAAGTGACAGGGAATATTTTGAGGATGTTAAATAGCAATGTCCTTTTTACTGTAGTGACTTTTTAAAATTTAAATGTATATTTTATCTTTTTAATCACACCTCATAGTAGTCAAATGCACTGTAAACCTTATTGTAGTCTGACAATAAACCAATCATCATGATAAGTTGCCAGACAGGTGAGGAAATGTGGATATGAAGTAGATGTTAAAAGATACTAACAAGTTAATTAGCTATATGAGTCTTCCCAGTTGATCAGGATCCTTCAAGCTCTGCACTATTGACTGTGGGCCAAATAATCCTTTGTAGGGGGCTGGTCACACTATTGGAATATTTAGCAGCACCTTTGGCCTCTATCTAGTAGACCCCAGTAGTACCATTCTCTATGAAACTATAAACAACAAAAACTATCTCCATTCAGACATGGACAAATTTTCTCTAAGTGAGAATCCTTCAGTTTTCTGGGTGTGGTGGCACATGCCTATAATCCCAGTACTTTGGGAGGCTGAAGTAAGAGGATCACAAGTTTAAGCCCAGCCTCTGACATTTAGCTATGCAGGAAGACCTGGTCTCAAAAATAAAAGGCAAAAAGCAAAACAAAACAAAAACAACAAGGCTAGGAATTAACTTATGCAAAAGGCCTGGACTCAATCTCCAGTACAAAAATAAACAAATAGGTAAGTAGATAAATAAATAAATCAATCCCCAAATCAGAGGAGCATAGAGGTGTAATTGAAATAACTGAAATGTCATATTTGAGATTTGAATTTAACTACCTTCACCAAAAAGAGTGGCAGTGTGTAAATGAAACTTCAATAATAAATGTTTATTTTAGTAAAAGCTGAGTGATATTCATAGGGATTTAAAATCTTTCTCTACTTCTGTGCATGACTTTAAAAAACTAATACATTAATAAAACCTTACATAGGGTTGTCATTGGGCTTTCCCACCAAGGCCGCCTTCTAATTTGTTTCACTGTATAATTTACAACCTCCTTGTACTTCCAGAATTCCTACCTGGCATCAGAGCAACAGGTTCCACTAGTTTACCAACTCGTTATTAAACCCAGAAACAGAAAATATTAGCTAGAAGCAGGGCTAATATTGAAGATAAGAGCAGCAGCTATCTTGAAGTTTTCCCCAATCTCCACTAGTCCTGCACTAACAAAAACATACATCTTTCCCTATCACTTTTCCTTATGGTAAAAGGGATTCATGTGTTGGGCAAATAAATGAAGTTCAAGATATTGGATTGAGAGGTTATAGAAAATTATAAAACCCCATCATCCTAATTATATCCCTTATCTTTCCATCTAAGGCCCCGTAGAAATATACAGGACTACACATAGGAGTATCATTTAGAACACAGAGAAACAGAAGCACAGAAGAAATGCAATGGGGAGATGGGAGGGTGCTGGAGGCCTTTGACTTTTAGGGAGTACAGGAGGGAACAGGATGCACCATCAGAAGAGCAACCACAGAAAATTAAACTGGAAAGTTGAGACTTTCCAATTACTTCAAAGTATAAGCGAAAAGTCCATTCCAGACCATAGAGTGTCTGAACGCAGGGTACTGCTGATAGCACTGAAGGATGTTTGTAGCAGAGTGAGAGACCAATATGGTTAAATAGATGTGCAAGTCTTTACAGAGGAGAAAAGCAAATCTTGCAAGGTGAGTGGGATTTGGATCAGCTGAGACTTTATACAAAAGGATGCAAGCAAAAGTATTCAACAAATACTTACTAAGTGGAGTGGCACCTCATAGCAGGTACTATGTTGAGTTTGATTTTGTGTTAAGATGCATGATTCAGAACCTTCATATTCCAAAAAATGAATGCTTAGTGTAAAACAAGGAATATACACAAAGTGGTTGCCAAAAGTATGGAGACAAGAATTTGGCTGGACACAAACTATGTATTAGTTAGGACTCTCCAGAGACATAGAACCAGAAAGGTATGTGCATGCGTGTGTGTGTGTTTGTGTGTGTGTGAGTGTGTGTGTGTGTGTGTGTGTGTGTGTGTGTGTGTACATACAAAAGGAAAGAGAGGGTGAAGGAACTGGTCCATGCAGTTACAGAACTAGCAAGCCCAAACTGCATGTCAGGCTGCACAGCAGGGATCCAGGAACATGCTGATGTTGCTGCTTATGTCAAGGGTAGTCTACAGGAAGAATTTCTCCTTCCACAAGAAACTTCACTCTTTGTCTCTTAAATCCTTCAACTGATTAAGTGAGGCCCATTATGGAGGAAAATCTGCTTTACTCAACAGCCTCTAATTTAAATATTAATTTCACCTAAATGATACTGTCCCAGAGATATTTAAACTCAGCTCTGACTGTGGCCTGGTGAAGCTGACACAGAAAATTAACCACAACAGGAAGGGATGTCCAAGTGTGTCACGAGTACAGTGGGCCATTAAGTTCCATGAAATCCAGACTACTAAAAAGTGTCAGCCAAGAGGATGCTGGAGTCAGGTGAGGCTACAGATGCAGCTGGTAGTCTGGAAATACAGTACTACCTATCAGTTTTATGGGAGAGGCAATCAGTGGTACCTGTTCCACATGAGCTCTCAACTGCTGTGGGGCTGCCCCTTCCCTCCCCAGAAATGAATCCTGCACTTGCACTCCTCATTACCACTCTAATCAAAATGCAGGAAAGCCCAGGTTTCTGGCTCAATCTGCTTTAGTCAGACAGGACCTGGCATACCCAGGAGCTATTTTGCATTTCAAAAGGCCTGTATGAATAGAAAGGATTTTCCTTTCTCAGTGATGAAGTTTTTTAAAGCAATCTATATTCTCTTTTTTAGGTCGAAATAAGTAATGATATTGACTCAGAAATGCGGCTGCTGAACTTGACTTAAGGAACAAAGCACCACAGATGGCCAGCGCTTGGTGGATCCAATGTGTGTCACCCTCCTTCAAGAGGACAGACTCTGCCCTCCAGCTTTCCCACAGACTGCAGAGTCCTTAGCTCACAGCCCATGTGTTATTAGCATTGTTTGCTAGTTGCGTTCTAGGTGCTTGGGTGGGTATTTTTTTAGTCATTTTCTTCTTATATGAAAACTTGTAAATTGTAAAAAAAAAAACCAAGGTTTTTAATTTTTTAACAATATTTAATGTGAGGCATGCAAAATGAAAAAAGAAAAAGTTTGCAAAAACCTAGTTATTTCTAAGAGATAAATCAGTGTGTGTCGCTTGAGGTGTGAAGTCAGCTCTGATGACTGCTGAAGTTAGCTAGGCCAAGGGCTCCACCCTGGCAGACACGGCAACAAATCCCTGTGACAGAGGCTACATGGTACCAGTGATGGATCCAGCTTTCATACTGACTGTGGAGAAGTGGCTCAACTCCCCAAGAAAAAACATGGAGTGTGCCTTCATTCCTAAGTTGTCAAAACCCAGAACAGCATTAAGGCAACCTAAATTTTCAGAGCTATCCATGACATCTTGTTCTTCCTGTATTTGGAAAAAAAAAAAAGAAAAGTATGTGTGAAAGAGTAAAATGTTGGGACTCCTTTCTCCTTTGAAGGAAACATGTGCATCTTGGGGTCCATATTTTCTACTTTGTATCCCACTCCCAACCCTGACATCAGACCAAGAGATACAGCTCTTGGCCTGTGGACAAAATTCAGAGCCTTTTACCTACAATCAGAAACTGCCCTGCGGATATTCAAAGGGGTCATTAAATTACTGCTGAGTTCTATAAAAACCTTTCTAAAGAAAACATTTGCATTTGAGATACATCAACTTTTTTTTCTCCTCCCCCTTCACAACAACCAAGAAAACGGTACTGTGGAGAAAAAGACTATCTGGAGAATACATTGTAATTTTTTTAATTGACATAAGATTTACATGGGGTAAAGTAGACAGATATTAAGGATAGAAGCTGATTAACTTGGAAATGTGTAGACACTCATATAATCAGTGTAGGGATCATAATACAGAACATTTCTATCACTTTAAAATCTTCATGATGCCTGCTTTCCAATTAATTCCTACATTCTCTAGACAAGCAATGTGCTACTTTACACTTCATTTTGTCTCTTCTCAGTATACTGTATTTTTTTCACATCACTTTTCCCCATAGCCTTCAATTATTATTTCCTACGTGAACATAAGTTTAGATAACTTTGTGTGCCAACCAAAGCTTACTGTAGGTCACAGAGTTGTGCAAATGTGCACTATTAAGTACTGAGACTGTTACCTCGGTCCATGCCTCTCTAGGAAATCTATAAATGGTCTAAAGTTGCTGCAAATATTTGTGTATGTGCAGATTTCTCTTTTCTTCATCCTTTCTGGAGTCCATGAATTTTATGGGACTCTGAAAAATCAGAACTTAGTATCACTAGGTTTCCTGCTTCTTCCAAGTGCATAACAAGCACAGTGGCTTCCTAGCGAGTCAGCACTCATGGCCTCTGGATCACGCCCTTCTGTTGAAGAGCACCCAGTTACTCCCAGTATTCTCCATTCTACTCAGTAAAATCAGATTGAATGAGAGGCACGAGGGCCTTGAGAATGGGGAGGTACAAGCTGCCTTTCTGTATTTTCCTGAGTGAAGCTCTGGAGCTTCAGTGCACTGGTCAAGAACCCTGGCTTTGTATGGAGGACTGAGCGCTAGGGCCAAGGACCAAAAATGGGGGAAGGGCAAAGCTTGCGATTTGGGTCCCAGTCTACTACTGTGGTGTTGGACCAAGTTTGATAGTTTAGCAGTCTTCTACTTTTATGGAAAGCTACCAGCTCTACCTACCAAAGATAAGGTGAGGATTTGATGACAAATGTTTAAAAAAATCTTTTAACTGTGAAACATTCCACAATTGGAAAAGTTTTCTGTCAGTACTTCCAAGGCACTAGGCTGGTCTGGTCTGAAGGGGTCTCTGTGCGGTCACTCAGGTGCCACGAACACTAGTAGGAACAACAAACTCTTCTGCTTCCTAACAACTAGAAGGAATAGTGCCCATGTTTAAATCATATGAAATAATGGAAATGCAAACTTGCATTTTTAATTAAAAATAACTTAATTACAAAATTAATACAAATTATTATTGTTTTGGAAGCTAATAAAATTGCAGTTGTATAAAGTTAGCAAGACTGAATGATAAAATTAATATTTAAGTATTTAATCTGTCCTTTCATTATGTATACACAACAATAAGAATATGGTTAACATTTCACAAAATACTTGCCTGGCAAGTACAAGGGCCTGAGTTCAATCCCTGGTTCCACCAAAAAAAAAAAAAATAATAATAATAGTAATAATAATAATATTAAAATATACTGGCTTAGTGATTTTTCAGTAAACATTCACTATAAGCAACTACTTAATATGACACATGTGTTTTTCTTTTTCATCTTTTTCACTTAAATAATGAAATTATAGTTGTTTCAGTTTCTGACCTTGGCAATTTATAGTGATTTTCTGAAGTTCTGGTACAGCTGCCACTTACCAGGATCGAGTATTCAGTCTCCTGCCTCTTCTCCTTCTCCCTGCTCACTTCTTCTCCACCTTCAGCTACTCTTTAGAGGCTCTGCTCACCTACATAAAAAGGGATAAAGTGATGAAGGGCAGAGTTGTGTAGAGCTGTATGGCATCCACCTGGTGATCTGGACACTTCCAACTAAGTGCTCTCACGGTTGCTGCTGCACAGAAAGGAGGGTTCCCAGTTCTTCCTTCTGCCTCCTGTCTTGGGAATCCACTCTGCCCTGTGCATTGTGAATAGGATTTTCATCAAGGCTGTGTGCACCATATGCGTGTTCTGCCTGAATCTGGGCTTCTCAATATGGAATTTTGTGCCTGACCAGAGTAAGATTGTGTTTCTGTACTCATCTACTGGAATCTTACCATCTTAAGGAGGCTCTAGAGTGCTCTTCACAAGTGGTGCAGTTAAAGCAGAAGAGAGGACATCTCCTGCCCTTTGGCACCCAGTGCGAGTAGAACTGGAAGGGCAAATGTAGAACCAATGCTGTTCTCTCTTAGAGTCAGCATGGCTTTGAAGCCTGTGAACCTTGGCCAACTTCTCCCTGGGCTATTCCTTCCATTCTGATGGAGTAACATCCTTTTTATGAGTCTTCTGCTCATACTGCGTGACACACACAAAGGTGGAATGCTCCCAGCTTCTCCCTTCATTATTAGAACCTACAGATCTATTTTGAAGCCAGCACAAGCTACACAGGAGAGTTACCGTGTCAGAGAATTTCCAGAGGAGAGAAAATGTCTTCGATTTAGAAGGGGCCATGTCAAACAACTCTCAAATATCCCTTAGAAAAACTTCCAAATGAGCATGGTCCCAAAAATCTTAGCCTTCCTGCTCACAATGTAAGAAGATATGTCCTAAAACAAAACCCATGCTCATTTGTTTTGAGAACAATTTGATGTCTTGTTCTAGAAAAATATTGACTCTTCCTTTTTCTTCCAGGAAATATAAGCCCTGCTATTCCTGCGTAACTCAATGAGGGAACCAGCCATGTTCAAGCGGCTGAATCTAACCAAATATGGCACAGTTTCCATCTGTCTCACTTAACAAACGGGACACTGTTAATTGAGTGGGTGGGATCTTTGTTTTTTGTTGTTGTTTTTGGCAGAACCAGGGATTGAATTCAGGCCCTTGTGCTTGCCAGGGAAGCGCTTATTCTACTGAGCCATCTCCTCGGCCCCTAGTGGGATCTTTCTTAAGCCAGCTAAAATGTATAAAAGGCAGAGCAGAGAAACACCATAATGACTACCTTAAACTGAGAAGCAGATACAAGCAAAAATTGCTTTTTTTTTCAATATTTGCAAATTAGAAAGGAGTCTTACCAAGAATAAATAGGCTTTTTATTATTAATTTTAAAAATTAGAATATCCCCACAATGTGGACACCCTATAATGATATCTTGGCTGATAAGTTTTTAAAGCAAATACTCACTTTTCATTTCTGACTTATTTTAATGAATAACTCACAGAAAATGTTATTGTTTATTGGAATTCAAATATTCTAACTTGACATTTTAGGGCAATGTAGTATCTGTTTTCTCTCATGTGATAAGTAGAAAAAAATACAAATAATTTATCCTTTAAAACTTAGAAACCTCAAATATCTGGGTTTTCAATAAGTATCCCCTTTCACTTCAGCATAGTCTGTACCACTATTTTTTTAACATATAAATCATGTTCCTATGTCTAAGAGGTGTGATTAAATACATATGATTAATAAGTCTACAACCTAAGGATGTTTTGCCCCAAAGCAGAATAAACAGAAAAAAACACTTCTCATGTATGTAACTACAAGGTGTGCAATTCAGAAAGAAAGCAGAGATATTTTAAATATTAGAATATACTTAAATATTAGAATATAGAGAATTCTCAAAAATGGATGCATAATTATAATTTCCTGGATAGTGTTTCCCTTTCCACCTGAAAAAGCTTATTCAGAGCTAAGAAAAAAACCAAAATTTATAGAAAATAAATAAAACGTTTTTTTGGGCCAGCCAGATAGCTCAGCAGACTAAAGCTCCTACTTAGGCAGAGCTCAGAAGCCCGAGTTAGATCCCCAGTTATGTAGTGAGACCCTGTACCAAATATATATATATAGAATAATATATATATATTATATATATAGTGTTGTTGTACAGGGATTCTACCCAGGCTCTTCACATGGAGCTACATCATCAACTCATCTTTATTTCATTTTTTAAATTTTGAGACAGTCCTTTTAAGTCCCTATGTCACCCAGGTAGGGCTACATCTTTAGTCTTGACTTGGATTACAGACTTGTGCCACCATGCCCAGCTACAATCCTTCTTAAATACTGGCAGTTGTGAAAAAAAACAAACTTTGGTATCAGATTAAAAAAATCATCTTCTTTTAAGTTGTACTCGTATATAAAAA